ACGCTCTGCAATAAGTTTAGCGATGAAATTAAAAGGAATGTTAGGATCAGTTAGTATAAGTTCATTATATTCAATCTACCTTTGGATCATTGATAAAATCAAGGAAGAGGGAAATGGGAAGAAAGATTCCGCGACCACCTGTTGATGTTCCATTTACACCCTGCTTGATGCCCATGATTTTGTCATACTTTTCTGTGACAACTCGTCCGCTAGGATTGCCAGGTGGTTCAACAATTTCACCATCCGGCGTATCTCCACCGGCCATGAAGAACACCGCCTGATTTGGTGGCTTGGATGACATATACTTTGCATCACAACGTCTTAATATGTTTGGTTCGCGCACTACCCCATATGTAACCATAGGTAGTTACAATTTCTGACGGATTTTTATTATTATTTATTCGGTTTCTTCATGCTTACATCTAGTTGTACAATGGTTGAGATCTACTATTTAAATTACTATACAAATTATGGCCAATGAGTAGTTGTTAAAAAACGACAAAATTTATTTGTACCGCAAAGTCTAATACATGGAAAGATTTTTTCAATCTATGATTAAATACGTTTGCAATATGAACTATGAAATTTGTCATAAAATTTAAAAGGCCGCTTTAGTAGCGTTCATATGCCGCTTGAATCGCTACCACCGCCGCAAACAAATCCGTTATGAATCTGACTTTTTTTTAATAAAAAAATATCTTCGAATAAAAAAAGGTAAAATAAAATTGTAAATTCAATTTATCAACACACAGTTTATAAAAAAAAATTATTTGCATCATTAAAACTTAGAAAAACAACAATTGAACCCGTGAGCATAAAAACGACTTATTAAACAATCGCCGAACAAAACGATACAAGAAAAAACTACCGAACAAAACGTACCACAGCGGTAATGTGTAGCACAGCGGAGTTTCGTTTTGAACGGTACCGTCCTGCTGTGTTACGTTTTTAACGTGTGTTTTGTTTGGTAGTTTTTTTCTTGTATCGTTTTTTTCGGCGATTGTTTAATAAGTCGTTTTTATGCTCACGGGTTCAATTATTCTACTGCAAATGATTCCCATTTGAAGTTTAAAACTTCGAAACTAACTGCGACATCTAACGAAAATCCGTTACAACACCCATTCGCCATATTGACAAGTGACAAGTGTGTTGTTGTTTCAAATTTCAAGTGGGAATCGTTTGCAGTGAAATAATTGTAGTTTTCTTAAGTTTTATTGCTGCAAATAAAATATTTTTTATAAACTGTGTGTTGAGAAATTGCATTTACAACGTTTTTCTACATTTTTTTTATTATAAGATATTTTTGGATTATTTTGTATTGAAAAAAGTCAGATTCATAACGGTTTTGTTTGAAGCGCTGAAAGCACTGAGAACTTGTTTTTTTGGTTCAATATCAATCGACTAAAACGATACCTAGCGGATATGCTAGCCCTTTAATTTTTATGACAAAATTTGCAATGGTCTTTAAATAAAACACCTTAAAGTGACTTTGGTTTTTCAAATTTCAAACATAAATCAATATGAATATTTCGGTAGCATTTCGACATTTGTCATCCTCAGCGAGTATCAAATTACACTGGACTCAGCTCTCCGTTTGCGGTTGTGAGTGAGAGAAGCAAAGAAAGAAGAAAAATATACACAGAAAGCAAAATATGCAACAATGTGTTGTGGTGCGAGCGCACGCCAAAAAATTACAACAACTAAAATAATAAAACTCTGTGTGACCGAAAAAAACAGCTACTTGAAATAAATTTCAATCGATCTGAACAGTGGTGTTTAAATACATATAGATGCTTTCGTATGCGTCGAGTTTGTGTGCCTTGTTTACTTGTTTTTCAGTTTGATGTTGCTCGTATCCCATTGTGTGTGGTTGTTTTCTAACGCGTGTAGTGCCACAGCTGATTTTGTTGCTTGGCGTTTGTGCGCACTCGTTAAATGTTCTTTCAAACGAATTTCTATGCTACGTTTCGTTTGGCCGGTGTATTTTTCTTCACATTCGCTGCATGAAATTTCATAAATTCGCGAACAAACATTGTAGTGAAAGCGGCCATGAAACATTGGTTGAAATACTTGTACGGTAAATTGAGTCGCATAGAACTAGAGACATACAAAGGAAATGTTAAAACCAGAAGAGTTGAACTCGCTGTTACGTGACATTCGTCCTCCGTGATTCGTCCTCCTCGCATGGGCGAATGAAAAATAAAATGCATTTTTCTCAAATTTTCAAATTTATTCGGTTCTTTTGTTGAACATCAAATGACAGGGGCAAAAAAAGAGACGGTATTCAACTTTTCCAGGCGCCTAAAACCCATTTTTCCACACCTATATTCTTCTTCTTTGATTACATCTTACCCTTGGCTTCTGGATCCAATCGAGCAACGGTGCAATTGGTTGAAAAATAACTGGCTGATCAGGTAAATGACTTATGGTCATGCCCACGAGTTTTTTATTCTTTTTCGAAATCATTGGACCTCCAAACGTAGCGGGAGCTCCCATGCTTTCATCTAAAGTGTAACACATCAAATGATTTGCATCAAATACGGGGTGCAGTTTCGGTTTGCATTTGGCGCCATCTAAATACTTTGTATCATAACGCCTCGTTCTCATTGTTCCATCCAATACCACATCACCGTAGACAGTAACCATTTCGGACGGGTCATTCATTTTGTAATCTTTGTCCACCAAATCGATGCTGCCGACGTTATCGTTGAACTCTAACGGTTCTTTAAGTGTAATCTTGGCAATGTCAAATTTCAATCCAGGAAATGCGAATTTCTCATGAACTTCTATCTGGTCTTTAGTGACTTTGATTGTTTTCGCATTGCTTGTGAGTTTGTTAACGGTTACATAGACATATGGGGCGCCTTGCACATTATGTGCACAGGTCAAAATCTCCGTTTCCGACAAAATGATTGCATTAAATTTTAGTTGAGCATCTTCGTCGGCATTGGCATATGTTTTCTTGGTGACGGTAAGAAATTCTGTAATAGAAAAACATCTCAGAATGAATAATAACGTTTATGAATCATGAAAAATCCCCACTTTTGCCTCTCCTCTATTTAAAATTTAAAAAAGTGACGTTAAAGACATTCGATTTAGTTCGAATTTCGAATGCACACTTACTTGGCTGTACCGTTATATCGGCTATAAATTTAGCTTCGTTAGGTGTGAGCGAAGGTGGAAGTGGTTTCACGCTCTGAAATTAATACAAAAAATGATTTTGTTTGCGTTGTTGAAATCAAAATTGGGGCATTGTGATAAGATACCTTTGGGTCATGAATAAAATCGAGAAATAGAGTAATTGGAAGGAACATTCCGCGACCACCTGTTGTTCTATTCATACCCGTAGTTATGCCCACGATTTTGCCATTTGTTTTTGAAACGACTGGTCCACCCGAATCGCCAGGTGTAATAATTTCGCCATCTTTTGTAGAATCACCAGTGGTAAAGTACAAAGTCTGAAATGGGTTGAATGTGTCGGCCCGTTTGACATCAGATATATACTTCGCATCGCAACGCCTCAATATCTTTGGTC